TGTCTTTTAACCAGCTTAATAAAATTGATTTTATCCTCTGAATGATAAAGAGATACTGAGCAAAATAATTTTTAAAATCAGTTTATTTTGCACCTAAGAAGACAATTTAACACCTGACTTTTCCTTTTTATTAGTTTTTTTTTTCCAGCTTTTAACACTCAGAACCTGTGATTACCTCTTGCCAGTCTCAGGACACTATCAGTTATTTGCCAAATACTTGAAACATCACTTGAAACTGGGTTGCATAACTTCAAGGTGATTTAGGATTAGTTTTTTTTTTTTATTTTTTACTTTTTTAGTGAATCATCCTGAGATACAGTTACAGACTTACAAACTTTCGTGATTACATTTCAGTCATACGATAATTGAGTACCCATTCCTTCACCAGTGTTCGTTCTTCACCACCAATGTTCCCAGCATCCCTCCCATCTCCCCCAAATCCAACCCCCCCACAACCTCTGTGGTAGGCACATTTCCTTTTACTCTCTCTCTCCATTGAGGTGTTGTGGTTCACAATACGGGTACTAAGTGGCCATCATGTTCGGTCCATAGTCTACTTTCAGCATGCCTCTCCCATCCTCCAAGCATCATCTACTTGGTGGTCCCTTCTCTATCTCAGCTGCCTTTTCCTCCAGAATGTGAGGCCAGCTTCCAAGTGTAGGGTTAGTTTTATCACCTAACTAAGGTGTGTTTGAAAAGGAGGACATGTTGTCAGTGGAGAGTTATGGATGATGTGAACTCTTGCTTTATAGGAAGCCAGCTTTTCTGCAAAACTAGCCACTGCTTTTTTGAGATTGCTACTACCAAAGAGCAGACTGAAAGAAAGAGACCCCAAGACACTGTGAAAATAGAGAAAGAGAACATCTTAGCCATGCACAGTGCTAGCACAGTGGTAGGGCATTTGCTTTGCAGGTTGCCTTAGAGGCCTTTGCATAGTCAAAAATATGGTCATTTGTAAAATTAGAGAAAACAAATGCAAAGATATCAAAATGGATATTAAAGCCTTTTTTAAAAAAATTACTGAAATTTCCTTAGTCAAGGAGCAAATATTAAGAGAAATTGTGTTACTTGTAAATGATTTCAAGACAAAAAAATGCTTTAAAATTCTTAGGATAGTTCTTGGATGATAATGACTGCTAGTATACAATTAGACTTTTTAAAGAAATTTTTAATGAATCACTGTGAGATGCGTAGTCACAAAGCTATCATGATTGGATTTCAGTCTGTTTAAAGCAGAGGGTAACAGCTTGTACCTTGTACTAGATATTGGCAATACACTGGAAGTCTCTGACTCACAGGATCTCCCTAGAGACTTAGAAATGACTCAGCAGAGGACCTTGGCTCTTGTCACCTGCTTTTGGAGATGCAATTCCTAGATCCTGCAAGTCACCATTTATGGGGCCAAGGGAAAATCTGTAGCACTTGGGGCAAACAAATGAGAATTATGGTGATTGAGAAGGGGAAAAAACAAGAAATAGATGACGCCTTATTTTTAAATTTAGTAGGTTTTATAAAAATGGCATGGTTTTTCAAAGATTCTCTAAAGTGCCTGTGGAGGAGCAGATGGGACAGGCCTGGATGGAAAGCACATCTGAGAAGGAGAGGAAATTCAAACTGCACTTTTTTTGACACTGAAGTTGATTTTTCTCTTTTAATAGCATAGGGTTCCCCCGAAACAAGACCAACTCTGCTGGGCAAAGACAGAATCCAGGAAATGCGCTGAATTTCCTCCTGGGATTGTCCAGACAGCAAGTTTCTTGTAGGAAGTAAGTCATGTCCCTTGAAGTGTTGCAGAACATATACAGAGAATGAGAAATATCAAATGTTTAAACATGTCTTCAAATTACAGCTCTAAATGACTAATAATTGTTTTGAAATACTTTACTGAAGGTAAAGTGATAGTTCTGGGCAGGAGTGGGTAGGAATCCTTTGAGCTCTCCATAATATAGTGGCAATAGAGCTCCCTGTGTCCAAAGCCTCAGGGAAAAGTTCAGGCTAAGACTTATTGGAACCAAATAGGTGATTTAAAGCAAAAGTAGCCTGGTTCTGAGCAAACCCCAAGCTTAATGTGACCAATGACTTTGTAGAAACAGAGTGTGGACAGCAATGAAAGGGAACTGTGTTCTTCAAGGGCAGGCAATATAGAGAGAAATCACTAGGGACTATTTCTCTGGATGGTAAGTTTATTCTAGACAGCGGAGTCCCAGAAATTGGGTCTTTGCTTGCAGGATACATATATCAGTGATAAGAATAAAGCAATGGGGGCAATAACACAGCAGGTAGGGCATTTGCTTGCATGCAGCCAACCCTGGTTCGATTCCCAGCATCCCATATCGTCCCCTGAGCACTGCCAGGAGTAATTCCTGAGTGCAGAGCCAGGAGTAACCCCTGTGCATCACCGGGTGTGACTGAAAAAGCCAAAACAAACAAACAAAAAATAAAACAATGACCACTTAAAGTCATAATTATTTTTTCTTTTTTAAAAGTTTTATTTTGGCGGACAATATTCTCCATAATCTCTCTCTACTTTTGGGCATTATGGTTTGCAATACAGACACTGAGAGGTTATTATGTTTGGTCCTTTATCTACTTTCTGCACACATCTCCCATCCCGACCGACTCCTCCAGCCATCTTTTTCTTAGTGATCCCTTCTCTATTCCAGCTGCCTTCTCCCCTTTGCTCATGAGGCAGGCTTCCAGCTATGGAACAATCTATCCGTCCCGTGTATCTAGAGTCCTTGGGTCTCAGCCTCATGTTACGTTGTTTTATTCTCCACAAATGAGTGCAGTCCTTCTGTGTCTGTCCCTCTCTTTCTGACTCATTTCACTTAGCATGACACTCTCCATGTCTATCCATTTATACGCAAAGTTCATTACTTCATCTCTCCTGGCAGCTGCATAGTATTCCATTGTGTAGATGTACCAAAGTTAGAGACACTGATAAGTCAAAATTAAGAAGATATTTATAACTAACATGTGTAGTTCTTTATATACATGGGAGAAACCCAGAAAAGCTACATAACTCACCCTTCCTGAGGAACTTCTTCCCTCCCTCCATCTCTCCCTCCCTAGCTCCCCCTCTCCGTTCATCCCTTCCTCCCTTTCTTTCTTTCTTTCTTTCTTTCTTTCTTTCTTTCTTTCTTTCTCTTTCTTTCTTTCCTAGAAATTACTTTTTCTTTATTTTTGTTTCTTGCTTTTTCAAGATACCAATGATTGAATTCAGAGCCTCACATATGCAAGGCAAAGCATGCTATACTAAGCCACATCTTTAGGCCTCTTGATTTCTAAACACAGATTTAAAATTCCTGGGTAAAGTCAATATTGGGTTGATGAAGAAGGTTAGCCAAGGTAGTTGTCAAGGAAGGCACAGTAAAGCACCGGTAAGCAGATTTAAATTTCACCCACAGCGGGTACGGTGTTTGCCTTGCACACGGCCAACATGGCCGACCCGAGTTCAATTCCTCCGCCCCTCTCGGAGAGCCCGGCAAGCTACTGAGAGTATTCGATATGCCAGACACAGTAACAACAAAGTCTCCAATGGAGACGTTACTGGGCCCGCTCGAGCAAATCGATGATCAACGGGAAGGCCTTTACCTTTACCTTACCTTTACCTACGTTGAGAAGAGATAAGGGGATTGGATGGAGCTCATATAGTGCAGGAGACACATGTAAATGAAAATGCTTATAGCTCTTTCAAAGGTAGTCTTCAGTTTGTACCTTTATGTCCATTGCATCACTGTTCACAATAGCTAGAATCTGGAAACAACCCGAGTGCTCGAGAACACTTGACTGATTAAACAAACTTTGGTACATCTACACAATGAAATACTATGCAGCTGTTAGGAATGATGAGGTCATGAAATTTGCTTATAGTGGATAGCCATGGAGAGTAACATGCTAAGTTAAATGAGTCAGAAAGAGAGGGACAGACATATAAGGATTGCACTCATTTGTGGAATATAAAATGATATAACATGAGAATGACACGCAAGGACAGTAGACACAAGGGCCAGGAAGATTTCTCCATAGTTGGAAGTCTGCCTCATGAGCAGGGGGAGAAGGGAGCTGGAATAGAGAAGGATCACTAAGAAAATGATGGCTGGAGGAATCGGTCAGGATGAAAGATGTATGCTGAAAGTAGATAAGGGACCAAAAGTGATGGCCCCTCAGTATCTGTACTGTAACCCATCATGCCCAAAAGTAGAGAAAGAGTATGGGGGAAATTATCTGCCAAGGAGGCAGGGGGAGGGTGGGAAAAGGGGGGGGTACACTGGGGAGATTTGTGGTGGGGAATGTGCACTGTTGGAGGAATGGGTGTTTGAACATTGTATGATTGTAACTCAAACATGAAAGCTTGTAACTGTATCTCACAGTGATTCAATAAAATAAAAAAAAATAAAAAATTATTTTTTGAATCACCAGGAGATACAGTTATAAGCTTTTATGTTTTAGTTACAATCGGACAATATTCAAACACCCATCTCTCCATCAGTGCACATTCCCCACCACCAATCTCCCCAGTATACCTCCCCCCTTTCCCACCCTCCCACTGTCTCCATGGCAGACAATTTCCACCATACTCTTTCTCTACTTTTGGGCATTATGGTTTGCAACACAGATACCAAGAGGCTATCACTTTTGGTCCTTTATTGTCATAATTAACACAGTTAAAGGGCTTTTGGGGAATAACCGATTTTTAAAAATGGGGGCCCACTGCATAATTCTATAAAGAAGGGGCTGGTAGGACAGGCATTATTCCCGCAAAGGCCTGCATATCTCATGGACACATCCCCAAGTTCACTGCCAGATTATTGCAGACAAACAGCACTGGGGGAACATGTTCACTTGGAGTCAATTTGCAACACATTTCTGTCTCTCCTACGCCATTATTTCTCCCTCAGGCTGATGCTAATAACTGTGTGAAGGGACAGTGTCTGATTTCTCAGTTCCCAGATCTCCTGCCAAGATCGCGTTCCTTTGTCCCGTGGGGTCCTCTCTCCATGGCTAATTCCTCCCATGTGACAGAATTCCTGCTTCTGGGGTTCTCCAGCCTCGGGGAAGTGCAGCTCGTCCTCTTTGTGATCTTTCTCTGCCTCTATCTGATCATCCTAAGTGGAAATGTCACCATCATCTCTGTCATCCGCTTGGACCGAAGCCTCCACACACCCATGTACTTCTTTCTAAGTGTCCTCTCTACCTCTGAGATCTTCTACACCATTGTCATCCTGCCCAAGATGCTCATCAATTTGCTCTCTGTGCTCAGGACACTTTCCTTTGCCAGCTGCGCCATCCAGATGTTCTTCTTCCTTGGCTTTGCTGTAACCAACTGTCTCCTGCTGGGAGTGATGGGCTATGACCGCTACGCAGCCATCTGCCATCCACTACGATACCCCATCCTCATGAGCTGGAGGATTTGTGGGCAGCTTGCTGCAACGTGCATTCTCAGTGGCTTCCTAATCTCTCTTGTGGGAACCACACTAGTCTTCACCCTGCCTTTCTGTGGTCCCAACAAGGTCAACCACTACTTCTGTGACATCTCCCCAGTCATTCGTCTTGCCTGTGCAGAAACCTACATCAATGAGATGGTAATCTTCATCTGTGGGGTCTTTGTGTTAGTAGTGCCCCTGACTTTCATCTGCATCTCTTATGGCTTCATTGTCCGCACCATTCTGCGGATCCCCTCAGCAGAAGGCAAGAGAAAAGCCTTCTCCACCTGTGCCTCTCACCTCATTGTGGTCATTGTCCACTATGGCTGTGCTTCTTCTGTCTATCTGAGACCCTCAGCCAAGCACTCTTCTGGCAAAGACAGGCTGGTGACGGTGACCTACACTGTGGTCACCCCACTTCTGAACCCCATGGTGTACAGCCTCAGGAACAAGGACGTGCAGATGGCCATTCGCAAAGTGATTGGAAAGGCTGGGGTTTCACTGAAGACTTTCTAACAAAATCATTTTTAGCACTTAAGCCAAAGTATTCCCTCATGGTACTATAAAGTTTCCAGAAACTGTTTCACTGTGAGGCTTTGGAAATGTGTGACTGTGAATCAGATGAACAACTTCATCTCTGGGTTCAGGACAGAACTTCATTTTCAGGGCTAGGTGTGACTGCATTCATTCTGTTATTTCTATGCATAATTTCAAGCTATTGTCTGGAAGCATCAGGGAGGGCTCTCATTTTTTTGCTGTTAATTGAAATTTTTAAAAAATTTTTATTAGTGAGACACCATGAGGTACAGTTGTAGACTTACAAATTTTGTGCTTGGGTTTCAATTATACAATGATCAATTACCCATCCTTCCACCAGTGCCCATTTCCCACCACCAAGGATCCTAGTATCCTTCCCACACCCCATTCCCTCCATTTTATAATGTTATTGTGTTAAGTTTTGGGATTGCCTTGTTTTTTAATTGAGTCACCATGAGCTACAGTTATAAAACTTTCATGTTTGACTTTCAGTCATACAATGATTGAACATCCATCCCTCCACCAATGAACATTTTTCATTACCAATGTCCCCAGTATCCATCCCCACATCCCACCACACCCCCCACCTCTAGTGCAGACAATTTCCCTCTCACTCTCTCTACTTTGGGGCATCATGGTTTGAAATACAGATACTGAGAGGCCATCATGTTTGGTCCTTTATCTCTTTCAGCACACATCTCCCATCCTGAGCGATCCCTGCAACCATCATTGACTTAGTGATCCATTTTTACACTTTTTAATTTATTTTAATTTTTTAAATTTTGGGCCACACTTAGGGGTACTCGGGGATTGCGTTTGGCTTTACCCTCAGCAATTACTCCAGGTAGTGCTCAGGGGACCATATGGAATGCTAGGAATCAAACTCAGTTCAAACACCCTATTTACTGTGCTATTCTGGCCCCTCTGCATTATTTTTATTGCTGCTAAAGATATGGTATATTTTGTCTGTGACAATTGTTTTAAATTGTCATTTATTGACCAACTGTTTTTTAGGAACAAAGTCTATAACAAATATCTTTCTGTTGGCCATTGAAAGAACCTATTGCTCATTTAAGTTTATTTGTGTTAGTGAAAAAAGTCATTATATTTTATTTTAGACTTTTCCTGTTCTTTTTTTTGTTCGTTTGTTTGCTATTAGGCGACACCTGGTGGTGATCAGAGCTTATGCTCAGGGATCACACCTTGCAGTGTTTATGGGGAACATACGGAATGAAAACCCACGTAAACCATGTACAAAAGGAATGCCTTACCCCCTGTACTGTCTCTCTGACCCTCAGTATATTTTTCCCTAAATTTTATTTTATTTTTATAAAGTTGTTCAGAATAATTCATTACATGTAATATTCAAACACCAATCCCACCACCATTGCATATTTCCACCACCATATTTCGAATGTTTCCACCCCAAATCCCAAATTGTGCCCCCCAAAACTTGGCACATCAGTGGTGTAAAGTATGAGAGGTAGTATTGCGACCCAGTTGCACACTCCAGGAATTCTAAAATTTAGATTACAATAATACAGCAGATTCCCTCACGGAGGAGACTCATCTCAACCTGTGGAGAGCAGCTGTGAGAATGGTGGCTGTTGGGTTCTGGAGGTTTCAGCTGCTGGTGCTCTGATGGGTTCAGGACAAAACTCAACCCTCCCTCCTCCAAGTTGTTCCAGTGAAGACAGCCTGGCATGGAGTCTGGATGTTCTATGCTGCTTGACTATCTTTATTTTGAGCAAAATTTTAGTATGCATAGTAAGGCTAGTATCTTAATTTTTTAATTAAAGTATGTTATAATGAAACATAATTATTTGTTTTGTGATAAATTTACTTAGATGTTTTCATAGTATTAAGTTAAAATATTTTGCTACATTTGTTTTCATTGGCTTTATATTTTTAACAACATTGGCTTGTGGATTTTGTTATAAAATCTATTTTGCTTAAAAATGCTAAATAAATCTTTTGAGATTTAAAATACATATTCTGTGTCGATTACTGCTAAAACGATGACAGTGATAGAAATAAAAAATAAATAAAAGACAAAATAATTACCAAAACCAATCTAAGCAAGTCCTGAGAGATAGGACAAAGTTTTTAGGCACTTGCCTTGCATGTGGCTGACCCAGGTTCAATCCTCAACCCACATATAGTCCTCAAGCATTATCAGGGGTCATTTCTGAGTCAAGAGTATCCTGGCTATGTCCCAAAATAAAGGAATAAAAAAAGCAAAAAAAAATATGCTAATCCTTGAAGAGAACCTGAAAACCTTCAAAAGAGTGTAGAAGAAGCCATGGTATCCAAGCCATTGAATTCATCCAGGCAGCCCCCACATACCACTCAGACACTGGATGGCTGGATGTTCCACAGAAACCCTACTCCTATTTCAGCACTTCTCAAATAGCCACAGCAAACGAGCAGAAACAACTCTTTTTTGGTTCATCACAAGGCAATATTTAAATAAGTACAATAAAGTTGAATTATTAGAAAACAGAGCTCCACTGCTCTGTTCTAGTTCAGAGGCTGAATTGGATATCCTATATACAGCTTGCCCTTAGCCCTCCGAGTCATCTCCCAGCCCTAATTTATTGGCTTTCACATTTATGGTTTATGTGCTGCATGTCATGTTTATATTTTTGCAAAACTTAAATTCATAATAATAAATTTCCCCTATCGTTCTTTAGAAGTTTTATAACATCAACAAATAAGCATAGTATATTAGCAATTCCATTAATTTTCATATAGATAAAAAGGACAGATATCTTTAATCCAAATGCAACATTGTAAAGATTATTTTTCCACCATTGAATTCCCTTGACAAACTTGTAGAAAGTTAACTGATTCTAATTAAGTTGTAGAAAGTTAACTGATCAGTTTAATTTCTAGATATTCGACTTGGCACTTAAGTTTCTGTTTGTTTGGTTTTGTTTGGTTTTGTATCATATCCAGAGGTGCTCAGAGATTACTCCAAACTCTGCGCTTGGAAAACATTCCAGGGAGTGAATCTTGGCCTCCCACATGAAAGGTACTCAGTGCACTGAACAATTTGTCTGGTCTCTAAAATATAAAATTTAAATGTGTAATATATATTATATCCTACTCTAGACATAGGCTAAAATATTAGCAAATAAAAAAGGAGAAAAATATCCCATCAAGGTCAAAGAGAGCAGTAAATGGATGTTGAATGATTAAGACATGTGAATTTGTTATTCTGGTTGAAGAGAAAATCACATATAATCTTTCTGTTCAGTGGTGGACCTCTGAGTCACATATAATCTTTCTGTTCAGTGGTGGACCTCTGAGTCACTAACACAGTGATGTCACATCAGCCCAAAGGAACCTGTCTTACCAAGTCTGTCCTGATTGTTACTTAAATCCAATAGACCCCCTCTCCTACGCTCAACTGAATTGTGGTTGAAAAGTATTGAAACTGAAAGTCCTAAAGTGCAGTTTGCAAAACACAAAGATTTCTTCTCTTTTTTCATTTCTATTTCTATTGCAATGCTGATCTGATAAAAGTTTTTTTTATGATTTATCAATATGTTTTCCATATCTGTCACCTTGAAGTGTCATGGACTACTAGAGGGGAAGGATTGCAGTGTGGAGTGTGGACTGGCTGTCTAGCCAAGGGGTGCACTAGGCAGTGCTTGCCTGTTCAACATGTTTGGCAACAGTGAAGAGAGTGCCTTTTACCTCACCTCAAGGCAGGCTTAGAAAACAAATGTGGAGCAGTGTTTCCTCCAGTCCAGGACCCTGCCCTGGGTAACTCCAGAAAGTGTAGAAAACAACAAGATTTGGGGGGAAGACCCAGGCCCTCTGGCTGGGTCCATTCTCTGGCTTTATTTTCAATATCTTAGGCTAACCCTTGCTTAAAATCTTTCTTCCCTAGAGCTCTAAAAAGTATTGAATAATCTATGCTCCCCAAATCCCTGCAACCTTCCCTCAGCCTCAGATCTGCTCTTTGTGGTTGGTAACCCATATTTCAGCTCTGCCCACTGACATTAGCTTCTCCCCAACTGCCTTGCTGTGCTTCTCTGCTTTCAGGGATCAAGACTGAAAGAGATACCTTTTTCCATCCTCTGCAGTGAAAGAGTGAGTCCTAATTTGCCTAGTGAAACCTGTGGAGGCAAAGGGATTCTCCCTTAAGCCATAGATCTGAGAGTGTTTTCTCCTGTGGTCTGTCTTCCAGTCTCCTATATTCTAATTTGCAGTAGCCTTCAGCTACTAATGATCTCCCAGCAACCTGGGATTAATTTGGTGCATAATTGTCAATGACGGACCTGTGAGACTTGGGGTTCACATGTTTTCTGTATCCTCCTTACTTATTGAAGAAGGGTTGGAGGTGTGCCAAAAACAGCTGCTCTAATGGCTCCCTGGAGTGCAAGAGAGCGTGATTGAGCCAGCATGTTGGGCCACAGTAGATAAGAAACAAAAGAAAACTTCTTCCAAGATGCTTTGAGTGAATACTCTTTGGGATTCTTAGCAAAGCAAGGTAGGAGTGAGCTGGATGAACAGAGTGAGCAGGTGCCAGTAGGACCAAGGAGTAGATTGTAACCGTTTCAGGGGAAAATTATCCCAGACATGTTCTGAACCTCAGTCAAGTAGATTTCTGGACTCCAATTGGCTCATATTGCTTGGAGGGAGAGAACTTGAGAAAAATACAACCTTTTAGATTGTTCTTTGTGGTAAACTGAGTGGAGGTAGTATCGATCTACTAACATAGAAGTGTCACATTTTCATTCACATTGTCATTGTCACCATAGATTGTAATTTTAGAAATGCTCTAGGAAGCTCATGATTGCTCAGTTAGTGAAGGCAGGGAGGAAAACCAAGTGCATGGATGGAGAGTGACTGGGAAACCAATAGGAAAGTGAGTGTAGAGTTTAGGGAAAGACAAAAAGTGAACATAACTTCACCCACTGAGGTACAACAGGCCCAGGGCTGAATTCAAAGGCCTTAGATGTACCTCTATCTGCAATTAAGTGGGTGCTCATGGTAGAGCAGACAGTCGGCCAACTCATTTGCTGCTCTGTACTCTGAAAAGCCAATTCCTTAGGATATCTTCCATGTTCCTGAGAAAGCGCTAAGAGCAGTCACTACATTGGCCAACTGGTTCACTGCTCTCTGCTGATACTACTGTCTGAAGACTCTATTTTGAGCAAGAAGGAAGCAAGAGAAATGAGTGCTAATCAAAGGGTCTTTCTTTACAGACCTTCTGCTCTCTGGAACTTATTTCTGTGGATACACACTTCAACCCATGAAGCTCAGAGATGGGAAGACAGGTAAAATCTATTTCCCATGGGAAGATCCTGGGAGTGTTTGTTCTATTGACCATCAACTGATGGAAAAAGAATTATAAAATTCATAGTGATAATAATTTATAACTCTGTAATTTATTTTTAAAGAATCTTTTAGCAAGGCTTTCATGACTGTGGTTCAGGTGAAAAAACTAGGTCTGAATGGAATCAGCCATTCATATTCTTGGTTATGTATGGTTAATGCAGTTATAACTACAGTGTGATGCTAGGTTGTAACTAGATCTTGTTCCAAGATTTCTTTAAAATTTCACCTTCCGATGTTTGGAGGATCCTCCCAGGAGGGGAGATGCATGTAGAAAGTAGACTATGGACTGAACATGTTTGCCACTCAATGCCTCTTTTGCAGACCACAACACCCAAAAGGAGAGAGAGAACACAGGGGATTGCCCTGCCACAGAGACAGGGGGGATGGGGGGATGGGGGTGGGAGGGATATTATCCATGGTGGTGGAAAATGGGCACTGGTGGAGGGATGGGTATCTGATCATTGTATAATTGAAACCAAAGCACAAAAAATTGTAAATCTACAACTTTAAAAAAAAATAAAATAAAATAAAGGGAAAAAAAAATTTCACCTTCCCTCTAATGAGCTTAAAAATCACCTTTAATAGTAGCAAATGAGATAATTCAATGGGTGGGGCTTATGTTTTGCCTGCTGGAGACTAGGAGTTCAATCCATGTAGTTCCCAAGCACCACCAAGGATTGACCCCCTATCCCCTATACTCCCTCCCTCTGCAGCACAGATGTGGGAGTAGTCCAAATAAAGCTAATATAAACCAGGTTTCTTAAAGGTTTTCCAGCCATGGCACTTTTTAAGACTGAGAAACACAGTATAGACAAGTACTGTTGAAAACATCTTAGATTCATGGCACAGTTGGTTTTAAATTAATTTTTGGTTTTTGCACATTCAGAAAATTTTTGCTATTGCTACTCTTTTGTGACCCCCACATAATCAATTATGCAAACACTTATGGTTTTATGGTAGACAGTTTAAGAAACTAGGGTATAGGCCAAATTTTTTTATAAAATATGGATATTTATTAATTTAATTTATCAGTAAACATATGCTGTAAATGAATAACTTACTGAAAACAATGGTTCTAAGAGAGCATCTCAAAGCTTTCTGGTGTCTACTATTCGTTCTGCTCCACTTACAGAGGAAAAGAATACTGAGACATCAGCTTTCAGTCCTCTCAAAAGGGAAGATCCCAAAGGGAAAACACATAGAGGTGATGAGGGACAGCGGAGCAGGGGAAGCAGAACCCTTCCCCAGTGTGTAGGATGGCTCTTAGTTATTCTCTTAAATTGAGCTATAGTAATTAAAACCTTCACTTTTCAATCTACTTCTGTACTTTCTTCAGTTTTTTTAATTTTTTCCACTACTAATTCAACTGGGCTGGAGCAATAGCACAGTGCTAGGGTGTTTGCCTTGCATGCAGCCAACATGGCCAGCAGGAGTTGGATTCCTCCGTCCCCCTCAGAGAGCCCAGCAAGCTACTGAGAGTATCTCGCAGCACAGCAAAGCCTGGCAAGCTACCCGTGATGTATTCAATATGCCAAACACAGTAACAAGTCTCACAATAGAGACGTTACTGTGGCCTGCTCAAGCAAATCGATGAACAATGGGAGGAGAGTGAAAGTGACTAATTCAACTAGAGTTTGAGTGAATTAAGGAGGAAGAATTTGTCAGTGAGGAGAAAGCTGTCAAAGTGAAGGGCCAGGCAATAATAACTTTTATGAACCCCTGTTCTTTTGGGAAAACAATGCAGAGACATAATGGCTCACCCAGTGGAGAATTCTGATGGGTATGATTTATTTTTTTGGATGAGAGAACTACAATCACAGCTTAGTCAGACCATCTTCTTGGGCAGAAGTCCAAGTGCTAAATTGATCAGAAATGACCCAGCTGTGGAAAACGTGTTTGTCTGGTTACCTTTTCAGACCCAACAGCCTATCCCTATCTAAGGGTCTGTGCCCCTCTGCTGTCAAGTGGATGAGATAGAATGTATGAGATGGTTGAGGGGAGTTAAATCAACACAATTTTGTCAATAAGATAGGCAAAGTGAAAATTATATTGACATGTTGGTTTAGTAGCTTTCTGAAAATGAAACAGGTGGGGGTATTTTTTCATAGAACTTTAGGCAGTGATTTGCTTAGAGTATGCCTAAAGGTAAACTTAAGATCAACAACAGACACCTCATGAAAATGAAGTCTCACTTGTGCAGAAGCTGGTGATCTGCATGCTCTGCTTTGTGCTATAATATTCGTGAGAAACTCAGAAGACAGTCTATTGATGTCTCTAGATACAATAAGAAAACAAACACAGTGTATAGCAACTATCCTGGTATAATGTGAATTGCTGCAAAAACAGTTTAAGACATGTCCTATCTCAGTGCATGTGGCACTCTAGGAGATACCCAGACAGGGCAGCAGAAGACTCACAAGGAATAGGTGCCAGTCAGTCCTTAGCAACTCCGTCCATTGGTTCCCATCCACAGACATTTCCTACCAGTCAATGTCTTTCCCCCTTCTCGAGTTAATTGTGCCTCAAACAAACTGTTCCTGCTTTCCTCTTTTCTCTAGGTCAGGCTATGGGAGTCAACCAAACAAGCTAACTTCTCCATCATCACAGAGTTCTTCTTGGTGGGATTCTCCAATCTTGGAGATGTCCAGCTTATCCTGTTTGCTGTTTTTCTATGCCTGTATCTGATCATCCTGAGTGGGAACATCACTATTGTCACTGTCATCCACCTGGACCGCAGTCTCCACACACCCATGTACTTCTTCCTTGGGATCCTCTCCATCTCAGAGACATGCTATACCTTTGTCATCCTGCCAAAGATGCTCGTCAATCTTTTGTCTCTATTCAGAACTATCTCATATAACAATTGTGCTGTTCAAATGTTCTTCTTCTTGGGCTTTGCTGTCACGAATTGCCTGCTCTTGGGAGTGATGGGCTATGACCGTTATGTGGCCATCTGCCATCCACTGCGATACCCTGTCCTCATGAGCTGGAAGATTTGTGTACAACTGGCAGCTGCTTGTGCTGTCCTTGGCTTTCTTTTCTCTCTCACAGGCACCCTCTTAGTCTTCACTCTCCCTTTCTGTGGTCCCAACAAGGTCAACCACTACTTCTGTGATATCTCTCCAGTCATTCGTCTTGCCTGTGCAGAAGCCTACATCAATGAGCTGGTCATCTTCATCGGTGGAGTCATTGCACTTATGGTGCCCATGACTTTCATCTGCATTTCTTATGGCTTCATTGTCCGCACCATTCTGCGGATCCCATCAACAGAAGGCAAGAGAAAAGCCTTCTCCACCTGTGCCTCCCACCTCACTGTGGTCATTATCCACTATGGCTGTGCTTCTTCTGTCTATCTGAGACCCTCGGCCAAGCACTCTTCTGGCAAAGACAGGCTGGTGACAGTGACCTACACCGTGGTCACCCCACTTCTGAACCCCATGGTGTACAGCCTCAGGAACAAGGACGTGCAGATGGCCATTCGCAAAGTGATTGGTAGAGGAGGGTTTTACCCTAAAGGTCTAGGATGACAAAACTGCACACCTGTGAACACAACCTTTCTTAGAATGAGCAATAGTTAGATTCTTGACTATACTGTTTTTTTCTTATTATTTACCACCTGTAGTGAAAGTTTCTCCATGTATCACTTTGATAGACTTTCAGGTTACAGCCTAAAACTTGGGTTTATTGTCAAATCCAAGACACAAATATTCTAAACTTGCACAAGTATTTTTATTTTTCAAAATACTTATGAAATGACTTTAGTCTTTCCTATAAAAGATAGGTATTATATGGATTATGAATGGTTATCCATATAGAAGATTCCAGTGTCACAAGTTTCTGTGACGCAGGCATGTCTCAGTGGGGCCCTTCAAGAATAAAGCGGAATAAATCTAACTGAAAATTATTCCTATAACATGAACTGTAGTTGCTGGAAAAGACCCAGGATACCACTTACATGTGCTCTGATATTGTTAAGCCCACCCTCACTATTCACCCTCCTACTCACTGCCCACTGTTCAAGGTCTCTTAGTGTTGTAAAGTCATGCTCCAATAGCTTTATTCTTGAACCAACCACTGTCTCTGGAGGTGTATCTCTTGTACCTGGCATCTCCCTTATTTAGCTACAGTGCAGGTACTTGAATATAAAGGGTGCATGAAGACAGGTACAGAGTTATTTTTCTTGTCCAGAGTCTCATGTAACCACCACAAACAATCTTGCTGTTTATAGACTTAATTCTCTGCACAAATGTTTATTGTCAAATATTTCTCATATCAAGATAAGGTTTCAACATGAATATCAAAGAGACGCAGACAATAAATTCATAAGAAAGAGTTTACATAGTTGAAATTGTGATTAAAAATGAACTTTTAGAAGTTGACTTAATGTAATATATAGATATATATTAAGTTATAATGATACATAACTAAAACTTATATAATGTTACTTCAATAAAGAAAAGATTTAAAAGTTGCTTGGTAAAATTCACCAGTGAATTATTTGAATTGGAAGGTTTACTTGTAAAACATTCTTAAGTATCCAGGGAAATATCTCAAAAGGTTGAAGCACCTGCCTTATATGTTCGAGACGCTGAATTTAACCCCCAACACTTCATGGCCCCTTCATTATTGCTGAGTGTGGCCTTGTTGTCTCCTAAGCAGAGCCAGACCCCATGTAAATAAACCCAAGCTCACCTAAAAATCAGACACATGTTCTGGAAATGTCCTCCAGATCCTAATTACTCCTGGGGAGCCCCCATCACAAAAAGACTCTTTTAGTGGCGGTAAGAATATTCTGTTTACTTTTATTCTTGAATACACTTTGAAAGGACACCATTCAATTATATCTAATATACAATTTATTTTATCAAACACTTGTTTATTGAATTTCCATAAATGTCTATAATATATAATGACTAATATTGATAGTTTTCTTTCTGTTATCATACTCATTTCTCTAGAAATTCATCAATTAATTTATCTAACAAAATTGTCTTTGCTTTGTTTTGATTGATGTTCTCTTAATTAGTAATGTATATGTAGGCACATATATTTTACCTGACTTCTCTGATTTGTTTGAGGTAAGATTTTCTCAACAGTTCTGTGCTCTTGGCCCATCTTGGGGAAGGGCCCTGGACATCCACTTTGTCTTACTCTCATTGAGACCCAAGGGAACCAACCTCTATGAGGAAAGCATAAGCACATGAGAACAAGGATATCTGTCCCACTGACTCAGGAGCTCAGAAAACCCCAAGTGCCCCAGCAAAGTCCTGGGTAATCAGCATACAGACCACATTTTTATCTCCACTGGCTTTTATATTTGTACTTTTTCTCAAGTTGCAAAAGAATGTAATCATTTGTAAGAGTGATTATATTTATCCCAATAAAGCCACAATTCCATCAATTATGTATGGTAATGATAATCCAATGAGTATTTATTATTAATGTAATTTAATAATAAAATGTATCCAAGGGAAAAATTCTTGGAATATTTTAGAGATAATATTTTTGATAATATAAACCTAAGTGTGGTAATTGCAGGGTAATAGGAATTTACTATGGAAGTTTCAGAAAACCAAGAAAAAAGGGATGGAGAAATAAGACATATGTTGGATTAAACAACTTTAAAATACAATTTAAACATATTCAGGAATAGTTTTATATACTTATTGAGTGATCTCTCTACAAGTTGATAACCAAATCTTTATACTTATCTATGTTTTACAAAATTGAAACATATTAATTTTACATTATTTTAATATCATGACTATTTGATATAATAATTACTCTATAAAGAACTCTTTAGTATAATCCTCATAGCTTAATTATGTATTACCGACATATTCTGCTGATTTTGGGCTTTTACATTATATTTATTAACTTACTTAGAATGTTGAATAGATTGTATTTATTCATGTTTGTGAATTGCCCCAAATATATATGTCTAGATCTGAAATTAAGGACCAAAAGCTTAATATTTCCAAGTTTTTTTTTCAAAGTTTGAGGTAACATAATCCAAATTAAGACAACAATCTTCTTGAATTTTACATTTATCTAAATGAGTGATATCTTTTGTAAATATGCTCTGTGAAAAGAATTCTGATTTTGGTCTCATTGTATTTCAATTTTTAATATTTACCTTAAACATGAGTGAGGTCTACCGGCAAGTTCCCCAGGATTTCCATAAAGGTGGATTCTGGAGTCCCAATACCTGGGATCCCAAACCTGGAAAGCTGACAAAACAGATTTCCACCTGGGGTTCCTAGGCAAGATTGGAAATAAAGGAGCCACGGGGGTGGGCTTCCTCTGGCCACTGAGCTTGGCTCCAGGCCATCACAATAATGTCAAAATCCCAATTAAGTGAACCCTAGGAAATTTTTGGTTTACCAGAGCATATAAAAATTAGATCCATAATCTCTTTGTACAAAAATTAAGGCCTGAGCCTTAATCTGAAGGACAGATTCAGAGGGTGAGAACTGCTGTTGAAAACAGGACTGACACATTCCCAGGATGTGACGCCACACAAACCAGTCTATAGAACAGGCACATCTCAGGAGTACTGTGATGGAGAGGCTCATCCTATCTGAGGGCATCCACGTGCACTTCCATAGCCAATGTTCTCTAGCTAATTTGTTGTAAATTTAACCTGGCATTTGGAAAGCCATTATAAATTTTTAAGTTTAGGGTTTTTTTTTCCCATTTTTCCTTCTACTTTTCTAACTCAACAGGGGCAGGGGATATAGTTATTTTGTTGTTGTTGTTGCTGTTTTGGGGTCTTTATTTTGTTTTTGTTTTTCATTAAACACGTCATCCTGCTTGTCACTCGGAGCTGTCCTCCCGAGGCCCACCTCCTCTGCACAGGATGGTTTTCTTGAGCGCAGCCTTCACCTCGCGGTTCCGCAGACAGTAGATGACGGGGTTGAGCAGCGGGACGATGACGGTGTACAGCACCGACACCACCTTGTTGGAGTTGTAGGCGTACATGAGTTTGGGACGGGCGTAAGTGAACAGTGTGGTGGAGTAGAACAGCGTGACCACCGTCAGGTGGGAGGCACAGGTGGAGAAAGCCTTTTTGCGTCCCTGGGCAGACGGGATCTTGAGGATAGTGGTAAGAATCGTGACATAAGATGCCACCACCACACAGAGGGGGACGGCAATGACCATGAGCGCCAAGAAGAAGTCCACCAGCTCCGCCTGGGAGGAGTCCTCGCAGGAGACGTTGAGCAGCGGGGAGATGTCACAGAAGTAGTGGTTGATGTGGGGCGTGCCACAGTAGCGGAGCCGGGCGATGAAGACCATCTTGATCATGGCAGTCATCAGGCCACACAGCCAGCAGCCCCCTGCCAGGGTGCCACACAGCCGGGGGGTCATGATGACAGGGTATCGCAGAGGGTTGCAGATGGCTACATAGCGGTCAAAGGCCATGACTGCCAGGAGGATGTACTCTGTACAAACAAAGGTGACAAAGAAGTAGAGCTGAGTCATGCAGCCATTGAAGGAGATGCTCTTGTCCTGGCTGAGGAAGTCCACCAGCATCTTGGGGCTGATGACCGTGACATACCACATTTCCAGGAAGGACAGATGGCTCAGGAAGAAGTACATGGGTTTGTGCAGCTGCCCATCACTGCGGATGGCCAAGATGATGAGGAAGTTCTCCAGCAAGGTCAGAAGGTAGACGACCAGGAACACAGAGAAGAGCAGCAGCTGGAAGGCTGGCCGCGTGGGGAACCCCAGCAGAATGAAATGTGTGGTAGCGGTGTAGTTCTCCAACTCCAGGAACCGTGGGTCCAGGACTGACTATGGACAGGGAAAAAAAAAATAGTAGCCCTGCTGACTCAGCCCTAGTAACTAGACCATGAAGGAACCCTCCCATCTCCAGATCGCTCACCATCAGCAGAGCTCCTCATCCCCATCTGGATCCCTCCTAAACTAGGATGAGAATAAAACACTTTGATGGGGGATAAAAAGAAAAATGGGCTTTTTATTTTGAAGCTAATGTTTTGATTTTTTTATGCCCAGAGAAATTATTCACCCACTCACCCATAGAAATACATTCAAAGCCACACCTCTCAGAGCTAAGCATTATCAACACTTCTGGGCAAAGGAGGGTTAAATTTAGACCCTCTTTCACTGTGAACAATACCCACATACACAGAGAAAAATGGCAGGATTAAGGCCAGAATGATAATGCACTTGCCTTTTATGAGGATCAATCCCCAGCACATATGGTCCCTCAAGCTGCCAAGAGTGATCCCTGAGCACAGAGCCAGGAGTAAGCCCTGAGCACTGCTGGGTACCCTCCCTCAGAATAAAGAAATTAAAAAAAAATAAAGGTAGCAGGACTCATCCCTCATTGTCAGCTGTGCCTCACACTACTTTGGAGCCACACAAACTCACTTAGCTCTGAGATTCAGAGAATTATCTAATTTTCTTTGATAAAGGTTGTAGAGCTTGAATGAATGTGGGGGCAAACACATAGGAATAATAGCAAATTGAAATTGAGCTTTCCCATAATTTTAAAGAACAAAAT